TGGAAACTTTATTTCAAAGACATGGCAACTTTATTTTCATAGTAATGGCAAATTTATTTTCAAAAGCATGGCAATTTAGTTTTTCTGCAGCATCTTTTTTTGCCTATGTTTTGCAACATTTTTATCTTAACCACAACAAGTATTTGGTACATTACAAGGAAATCCTATTATTTGTACTGTGGAAAATTATTATTTCCAGGACATGCAATTTATATGTTAGGACAACGAAAATATAGAGCATGGCAATTTTATTATAAGATCTTGCCAAATTTCATGTACATACTTTTATTATTTAATATTCAAATTTGCCATTTATTTGGAGATTTTAGATGTTGTGGTAAATTAAATTTCAGAGCTATGTCGATTTATTTTTCTAGAGATTGGGCAATTTTTCATCTATACACATCAAATTGCATACATTATATGTATTATTATTCTGAATCGTTGGCTATGCAGTAGTTTTATTGTAAGAAAGATGTCATTTTTTGTATGTTTTTAGTTAATTAAGTTTTATTAGATGAATTAGTTGATTTAAGTCTAATGCAATTATTAACATAACAGTTTTTTTTGCTTTTAAGGTCTTTTTCTTTGTGGTGCTATAATGCTAAGCCTTTTTTTTGTTCTATTTCCTTGCCCCGTGCTTTTGTGCGCCCCTATGTCTCGCTTACAGCGAGACGGAGGTAAGCCTCATGTCAAAGCGAGTTTGAGATGTGCCAGCCCAGGCGCACGGGAGGCCACAACCTCATTTTTTTCTTGTTTTTTTATGTTTTATGTTTTTCTTTTTTACTTTTATATTTCCAAATATTCTAAATAAATTTACTACAAAAAAATTATTTATCTTCTACTTATCTCTATCTCTATATTTACTTAAAAAGAACGTAAGGCTCCCGTTTCATGCTCTCCTTCGTCCAACCTATCTATGTACTGCCGGTCCTTTTCATGCTTGACTTTTTCTCCCATTTATGACTTTTATCCTAAATAATAATATTCTTGGGCATGCAATTGAATTCTTACCAAATAACTGCTTAACTGTGAGATAACATATTTTCTCCCATCTCTAATCTTTCTCTTAAATAATATTTCCTTTGGTAATTCAGCAAATTCGTACCAAATAAGTGTTAACAATAAGATGTTGGCTAAATCGTGGCAATTGCATACAAAATCTTACTAAGATTTTAGCCCACAAATGTAATAATAGATGTGCAATCACGGGCTAATCTATTGAAATGTTTATACCCCGTTGCAATCCACATATAGTTATCTAGTCTCTACTACTTAAAAAGAATGTACGGCTCCTGTTTCACCCTCTCGTCCGTTCAACCTATCTATGTCCTACTTGTCCTTTTTCATGTTTGACTTTTCGCCCATTTATAATTTTTATCCTAAATAATAATATTCTGGGGCAAGTCCATTAATTCTTACCAATAACTGCTTAACAATAAGGTGACATTTTTCTCCCATCTCTTATCTTTCTCTTAAATAATATTTTCTTTGGTAATTCCAAAAATTCATACCAAATATGTGTGAACAATAAGATCGCAGCTAATCATGGCAATTGCATACAAAATCTTGCTAAGATTAGTGCAAAAATGTAGTAATAGACATGTAATCACTCGCTAATCTACTAGAATATTTATACCATCGTTGTAATGCACGGGTAGTTATCTAGTATACTTAAAAAATGTAAGGTTTCATGTTTCACTTTTCTTTCAATCACCCCTTCGTCCAACCGCCCCAATGATAATTAATCACCTTAATTTACTTACCTTCTGAATTAATTTCACCTTTTTACTTACCAAACTTCTCATCAAAATATAAGATAATCACAGACAGGATTTGATAAACATTTACTTACACAATCATTTTAATACAGGCAAGTAAATCAGTGGCTAACATACTAGACTTTTTTTTGAGAAACACTTGTAATTTTGTTCACACTCATAACAATTATAGGTACACTGATTCGGATCTAAGATCCAAGAAAATACAAAGTAACTCCTATAACAAAGAGTTACAATAAAATCTCTTGGAAACACCTTTTTCGTTGTATGAATCTCTGTTAGAAAAAAATACTCCAAAGACTTCGGTAGAAAGGCTGCAATTGGACTCGAGCAACGATGTTTTCACTCTTTCACCCTCACAAGCATTACCAATGATGCTCTTTGCAAGAGGGAAGCCTTGATGGGTGAACGTACTTTGGCTGGGGATGATCCCCTAAAAATGCAAGACGCCGGATGACAATATTTTTACCATGATGTCGATGTAACACTTCAACTTTACTAAGAATCAAACCAACAAAAAAAGGTTGACCTGCCAGCCTAAACTCATCAGATCCGAATAATCGGATCTGCGAGGACTGAAAACTCTCTAACCTCATGGCACCGCCAAAAGAACGAGAGTAAATTTATTCCCATAAAATATGATGATCACTAGATGATGACGAAGAACGTAGCACTCCTGAAGATGCAAGGTCCACCCACCTCTCGGTGCCAAGATGGCAGCGGGAGGCGAGGGGACCAAAAAATTACTTGCGGCGGCGGCGGCAGCAAGGAAACCCTCAGGCAAGAGATGAGATCATATAATCTACTAGGCTAACATACTAGAATATATCCTATTGCAACGCACGAGCATTGTCCTAGTTACATAAAAGATTTGGAAAAAAGTGTTAACCAAGCGTCTAAAAAAGTGTTAAATGTGTATAGATAAAATCTTTCTCATGTATACGGAAACTGAATACAAAAAATATACAATGTGTGTGTGAAAACAGTTCATTGTGTATTTAGAAAATGTCAAACAAGCATTTGAAAAAAATGTCAAACAAGTATTTAAAAAACTGTTAATCAAGCATTTGAAAAATGTTAAATGTGCACACGAAAAATGTTGACCATGTACTAAAAAATGTTAATCTTGTAATTTAAAAATAATCATCAAACATTTGTGAAATGTTAAATGTGTATAGAAAAATGTTGACCATGTATTAAAAAATAATCTTGTATTTGAAAAATGTTAATCAAGTATTTGAAAAAAAAATTAAATGTGCACAAAATAATTATTGACCATGTATTAAAAAATGTTAAACTTGTTTTTGAAAAATGTCAAATGTTTATTAAAAAAATGTATGAGATGTATAAAAAATGTATAATGTGTACGAAAAAATTGGAGACAAAAAAAATACATTTTCATAAATATAGTAATCATATACTTAAAAAGGTAAACAAGCATATAAATATATTTTTGATGTATACGGAAAATGTTGAATGTGTACTAGATTTTTTTGACATGTGGTGAACAGGAAAGAAGCTGGTAAAAATCGATAAAGAAACTAAGAAAAGGAAGGAAATCAGTAAAAGAACAAAACAAAAAAAATAACCCGAAAATAGAATCTGAAATGTGAAGAAAACCAATGCAAAAGAATCGCAACAGAGAAAGCCAAGAAAGAAAAGAGAAAAACAAAGAAAACCAAGAAAGAAACAAAGAAAAACAAACAAAATTGAAGAAAGAAAAGCTTAAAAACCAAGGAAAACCGAGAAAGAACAAATAAAAGAAAGAAATAAAAGAAAAATTAGTGAAAACCGTGAAAGGAAAGAAGATAACCGTTGAAACAAAGAAAAACAGAAAAAAAATAAAAAGATTAAGAAAAAGATAAGGTCAAAAGAGAAAACATAACAAAATGAAAAGGATAAAAAGGAACCAAGCCAATTATGCGCACCATGCAAGACTATTGGCAACGATCCTCGAACGTAAATGGATCGATAAATTGGCCGGCCCAGCTATAACACGGAGAGCCGAAAATTTCAAGCGAGATGGAACGATCTCTCGCTACAAGCAAGATATAGTCCTGTTGGTTTCTTAAAGAGTTTGTCATGATGCGGGTCCATTGAACGAAACGTTGCTCATTCCTGGGAACTATATGACGAAATCAATAGTTAAAGGGTACCCCTTGCAAAGAGCAACTACTAAGTTGCTCACAAGTGGCAATCTGGGAGTTTCCTTTTCTTTAGTAGATTGTTATTTTCAAAATGTTTTACCTTTAAACCGTGTCCAAATTCTCAACCGTTTTCACCATAGGATTCGTCGCGTCGAGATCTTCGAAACTAGATCACATGATACTAGGTTTCGATGAACTTTTTTCACGAAAAAACATGAAAAACACGATTGGAAAAACTATAGTCAGAAACACATTTTTTTTATTCCTTTTCCCTTTCGGAGAGGCATAATTGTGCTTCCCGCGAAAGCAAATCTATGTCTCTCACGAAAAGCATTTTTTTCCTCTTTCAAGAAGCACAGTTGTGCCCCCCTGAAGCAAACGTGCGTCTCCACAAGAAGCAAAACTTGGGTCTTTCGTGAAAGCAAAAAAAGGAAATCTTTCTTTCTTTCCGAGAGGGACAGTGTCTCGCTGAAGGAAATATGTGACTCTCTTGGAAGAAAAAAAAATGTTGTTTTTCCTTTTTCGAGAAGCATATATGTTTTTTCTCTTTTGAGAGGCACAACTGTGACTCTCACAAAAGCGAACATGTACCTCTCGTGGTAGCAAAAAGGAAACTCGTGTTTTTAGTATAACTTTTTTTTGAATTCTTTTCTCTCCAAAATCTCAGGAAAACGTGGCGAAAACCGAAAAGCAAAAAAAACAAAAAGGATGTCTAAACCCCGATCAAAACAAAATTATAAAAGAACGCCCAAAATATGACATGTGGCATTGGCTGAGAGGACGGGAAGCGACACGCTGTCAGCCCAGCCCTGAGTTAGTTGCTCTCACGATTCTTTTGTTCTGCGGCCGTAACCAAGCCACCTTCCTACGCCGACTGGAATCCGATCGCAACTCTACCAAGCCCCGATCCCATATATATAGCCGGGGCCGCAGCCTCCCGAAACGCCTTAACGCGAACCAAGCCTGAGCAACTCGTACCGTCGTACGCACTCTCGCCATCAATTCATAGCTCTCGATCATCGACTGTCGACGACCTACGAAGACAAGCTACAAGGGCGACACGTACGCGACCATGGCGGGCGGCAGCAAGGCCGCGGCCGCTGTAGCCGTGGTCTTGGCCTTCCTACTCTTCGTCGTCGCCTCGTCAGCAGCCGCCGCCGCACCCGACATGTCCATCGTCTCGTACAACTCGGCGCACGCCGTCTGTGGGCTGGAGCGGACGGAGGCCGAGGTGCGCGCGATGTACGACCACTGGCTGGCGCGGCACGGCCGCTCGTACAATGCGCTCGGCGAGTACGACCGCCGGTTCCAGGCGTTCTGGGACAACCTCAGGCTCGTCGACGCCCACAACGCCGACGCCGACGCCCACGGGTTCCGCCTCGGGATGAACCGCTTCGCCGACCTCACCAACGACGAATTCCGCGCCGTCTAGCTCGGCGCCATCCCAAGCGGCCAAGGCCACCACGCCGTCGGCGAGAGGTATCTCCACGACGGCGCCGAGGCGCTGCCGGAGTCCGTGGACTGGAGGGAGAAGGGCGCCGTTGCCCCCGTGAAGAACCAGGGCCAGTGCGGCAGCTGCTGGGCGTTCTCGGCGGTCGGCGCGGTGGAAGGCATCAACAAGATCGTCACCGGCGACCTGGTGACGCTGTCGGAGCAGGAGCTGGTGGAGTGCGCGAGGAACGGGCAGAACAGCGGGTGTAACGGCGGGATGATGGAGGACGCGTTCGACTTCATCGCCCGGAACGGCGGCATCGACACGGAGGAGGACTACCCCTACACTGCCAAGGACGGCAGGTGCGACCTCGCCAAGAGGAGCCGCACGGTGGTGTCCATCGACGGCTTCGAGTCGGTGCCGGAGAACGACGAGCTGTCGCTGAAGAAGGCGGTGGCGCACCAGCCCGTGAGCGTGGGCATCGAGGCCGGCGGCCCCGAGTTCCAGCTGTACGAGTCGGGGGTGTTCACCGGCAGGTGCGGCACTGAGCTGGACCACGGCGTGGTGGCGGTGGGGTACGGCACCGACAATGGCAGGGACTACTGGAGCGTGCGCAACTCATGGGGCCCGGACTGGGGCGAGGGCGGCTACATCCGGATGGAGCGCAACGTCACCGCGCGCACCGGCAAGTGCGGCATCGCCATGATGGCGTCCTACCCCGTCAAGAACGGGCCCAACCCGTCACCCAAGCCGCCAAACCCGCCGAAGCCGAAGCCGGTGGCCTGCGACCGCCACAGCAAGTGCCCGGCGGGGAGCACATGCTGCTGCACCCACGGCGTCAGGAAGACGTGCTTCGTCTGGGGATGCTGCCCTGCCAAGGGCGCCATCTGCTGCAAGGACGGCCCCACCTGCTGCCCGTCCGACTATCCCGTCTGCAACGCCGAGAACCGCACTTGCTCGAAGGTACACAACAACCACTATCCAATCTCCAATCTATTCTCTCGATGTGTTGATTTCTGGGACTAATTTGCATTGCACGAATTCGTTGAGTTTGTGCTGATATTTTTGCATGGATGTTTTTGGTTTTGTTTGACAGAGCAAGAACAGCCCGTACACCGTGGAGGCGCTCATCCGTACTCCGGCCAGGCGAAGCAGGACAACGACGCTTACACAACTGGCCGATTCAGTGTTCTCCGAATTGGACGTCTAGCCTCTGGGTCTTTTCTTATTATTTTTTAGCCCATGGCTACAATAGTATTAGGACTATTTGAAATTTGTATCCGCAGGAATATGTACATACAAGATACCAGAATTTCCACATTGTTGAAGATCAGACATTCTTTGTATCCATTATTTTCGTTTTCCTTTGCATCTCTCTGTTTCCAGCTCTATCTGTTTATGTTCTTCATTCAAATTAGTTATGATTTACATTAATGAGCTAAATACACTGGGGTGTCTCAACTAGTTTTGCATGGTCATAGTGCCTAAAGTAGCAAAATACACGAAACTGATGCTCGAACTTGTCCCATCGTGCAAATACAGTGCCTCATTCCGTATCGAGACATATGCTCTACCCACATGGCGTGACAGTGTTGCGGTGGCCCACATGTAAGTGGCTGAGAACGAGGGAGGCGCCTGGAAGCTTGCACATGAGGATTCTTTTTGCATAAAACACCTTCATTTTTTATTTAATCACGTACCAATGCCAACAGTAAAAATAAGCTGCAGAATCGATGTTGGGATCTCATGGTCACAGATTGCATCGTACGCACAGGCTATCCACCACGCCAAACTATGCACAGTGGACTTTCATGAGGTCAAATTATATATACGACCTTGCTATGCAAAAGATAACTTTGGAGCACGGGCACATTGTGCCCCTTTTTTCTTAAGTTCAGAAAAGCGTATTTTTACATCTCAAACAAATTCCAAAATATTTCATACGTGCACACATAGAAGTGTAATATATCATGCGAATTTACATCAAAATCTATTTCTGTATGCGAGAGATAAAAAAGACAAATACATGCAAAAAAAAAAACAGGCTTGTTTTCTTCGCCAGATTTTCGTCATTATTGCATAGTAGTATAATATAAGAGCATCTCCAATAAATGGTCCAAATGTAAAACAACTAACTTTTGGACCGTCTGAGGCAAAAACCGGTGCTCCAACAGACGGTCCATATGCAAAAAAAAAATGGACCGCGGCCTCCTCGTGATGTAAAATCCAACACCTCGCGGTGCAAATTTACATCACAAGGTGCATCTGGTCCAAAACCAGCCGCTGCCCGCGAACGCCCAACCGCGAATTCCTTTCCGTTCCCGCTTGCGCCCGCCCGCCGGCCCGAAGACAAGCTGGCCGGAATCCGCCGACGCGACCGCCGAAAACCACGCCGTCGGCGCCGCCACCACCCCAAATCCCCGTCGCTGCCCTCCGCCGCCGTCACCTCCCTCGTCGGTAGCCGGCTCGCAGCCGCCCGGAGGCCGCCGAATTGGGAGGCATCCGGCGCGGGATTCGGAGCCTCCGGCGGTCCGGCTGCCGCGATAGGCCTTCGGCGGGTCTAAGGTTGCCGATGACCTCGTCCCCGTCGGTCGTGAGCCTGTTCACGGCCGTTGCGCCGGTCGGACGACCGCCGTACGGCGCCCTTCGCCCGGCTGCCGAAGTACTGTTCGCCGCCCGCCGAGCTCCTCTTGGCCGGCCTCGAAGCTCTTTTCTTATCACCGCCGTCGTCCGGAGGAGCCGACCGTAGCCGTGAGCAGCAGCCAATCCAACCGGCGGCCATCTTCTTCCACCGCACGCACTAGGTGTTCGACGGAATTCCCCAAGGTAAAAAAATGATGAAACTTGATGATTTAACTTGGGATTGGATAGTATGTTTGACGGTGGTTGTGTGCAATGTAGATGAGGTTGGTTGACTCCTCTTTCGTGGATGAATCATCATCGGACGAGGAATTTGATTTGCATGAAGAAGAGGAGGCTGCTATGCTAGTAGCCATGCACAAGAGGAAGAAACCGAAGCACGGTGGTTCCGTTTATGGTCGTGCGTTCATTCGGAGAGAACAGATTGATGCGCACAAACGGTTGGTGCGAAACTACTTTGCATCACCACCTGTTTTTCCGGAGAATTACTTTCGACGCCATTTCAGAATGTCGAAAGACTTGTTCTTCCGTATTTGCAATTCCGTGAAGCAGCATAATCCAGTCTTCGAGCAAAGAAGGAACTGTGCCGGCTTGCTTGGCCATAGCATTGAGCAGAAGGTCACTGCCGCTTTGCGCATGATGGCATATGGTGTTCCGGCAGATTACATTGATGACAACTTGGCGATGGCAGAGAGCACTTCTATCTTCTATGTCAAGCAATTCGCAATAGCTATGGTAGAAGTGTTCGGTCCACAGTACTTGAGAGCACACAATGCTCAGGACACTCAGAGGCTTTTGGAGATGTACAAAGCTCGAGGGTTTCCGGGTATGCTCGAGTCTGTGGATTGCATGCATTGGAAATGGAAGAAATATCCAAAAGCATGGCATGGACAATTCAAGGGTTGTGGGAAGGATGCCACTATCATTCTTGAGGCAGTTGCTGATCATGAAACATGGATTTGGCATTCATATTTTGGTATGCCCGGTTCTTGCAACGATATCAACATGCTCGACCGGTCACCTCTCTTTGCCAACTTAGCAAATGGAGAAGCACCACCAGTGACCTTCGAAGCAAATGGCCGCACCTACAACTATGGGTACTATCTTGCAGATGGGATCTACCCGAGGTGGAGTACATTCGTCAAGCCGGTTGCAAAACCTGAAGGTAAAAAAGAACTTGTCTTTCATAATGCATAAGCGGAGGCTAGAAGAGATGTTGAGAGGGCATTTGGGAATTTGCAATCCCAATTTGCTATTGTGCGAGGACCATCTAGATTTTGGGATCAAAAGATCCTTTGGTACATCATGACCGCTTGCGTGATCATGCATAACATGATCATTTTTTCTGGAGGAAGACGAAGTGAGTGGGTGCTGGAATAAGTGGAGGGGGGTCCACGTGGGGCCCACGAGGCAGGGGCGTGCCCTGTGTCCTCGTGGCCAAATGGTGGGCCCCCCTGGTGTGTTCTGAATGCCAGAAATTCTTAAATATTCTACAAAAAACCATACTTCATTTTCAGGGCATTTGGAGAACTTTTGTTTTGGGGTGTTTTTTATTGCATGGATAATTCAGAAAACAGATAGAAAAATACTATTTTTGATTTATTTATTCTAAATAACAGAAAGTAAAAGGAGGGTACAGAGAGTTGTGCTTTCTAACTTCATCCATCTCATGCTCATCAAAAGGAATCCACTAACAAGGTCGATCAAGTCTTGTTAACAAACTTCTTCCGAATAACATGAAACCGGAGAATTTTTGAATAACACTAGGTTACCTCAACGAGGATATGCATGTCCCAACAATAAGAATATCATATTTATTTTTGACTGTAGAAATAAGGAATTCAAAACCCCCCATAGTAATCGTTGAAATTTTTCCAATAGAATTTATACTATGAATTTGAGGTTGTTTCCTCGGAAAGTGTACTGTATGCTCATTGCCATTAACATGAAAAGTGACATTGTCTTTGTTGCAATCAATAACAGCTTCTGCAGTATTCAAAAAGGGTCTACCAAGGATAATCGACATACTATCATCCTCGGGAATATCAAGAATAACAAAGTCCGTTAAAATAGTAACGTTTGCAACCACAACAGGCACATCCTCACAAATACCAACAGGTATAGCAGTTGATTTATCAGCCATTTGCAAAGAGATTTCAGTAGGTGTCAAATTATTCAAATCAAGTCTATGATGTAAAGAGAGAGAGACATAACACTAACACCGGCTCCAAGATCACATAAAGCAATTTTAACATAGTTTCTTTTAATGGAGCATGGTATAGTTGGTACTCCTGGATCTCCAAGTTTCTTTGGTATTCCACCCTTAAAAGTATAATTGGCAAGCATGGTGGAAATTTCAGCTTCTGGTATCTTTCTTTTATTTGTAATAATATCTTTCATGTACTTAGCATAAGGGTTTATTTTAAGCATATTAGTCAAACACATACGCAAAAAGATAGGTCTAATCATTTCAGCAAAGCGCTCAAAATCCACATCATCCTTTTTCTTGGATGGCTTAGGAGGAAACGGCATGGGTTTCTGAACCCATGGTTCTCTTTCTTTATCGTGCTTCCTAGCAATGAAGTCTCTCTTATCATAACGTTGATTCCTTGATTGTGAGCTATCAATATCAACAGTAGGTTCAATCTCTACATCATTGTTATTACTCGGTTGAGCATCAACATGAACATCATCATTAACATTATCGCTAGGTTCATGTTCATTACTGCTATGTCTTGAGCTTGTGTTGGTTTTCCTTGAAGAGGAAAGGGTGATGTAGCAATAGTAGCGCAAGTATTTCCCTCAGTTTTTGAGAACCAAGGTATCAATCCAGTAGGAGGCTCCTTAGAAGTCCCACGCACCTACACAAACAAACAAGAACTCACAACCAACGGAATAAAGGGGTTGTCAATCCCTTCAAGGCCATTTGCGAAAGTGAGATCTGATAGAGATAATATGATAAGAGAAATATATTTTTGGTATTTTATGATATAGATTGGAAAAGTAAAGATGCAAATAAAAGTAGATTGAAAGCTTATATGATAAGAGATAGACCCGGGGGCCATAGGTTTCACTAGTGGCTTCTCTCAAGATAGCATAAGTATTACGGTGGATGAACAAATTACTGTCGAGCAATTGATAGAAAAGCGAATAATTATGAGATTATCTAGGCATGATCATGTATATAGGCATCACATCCGTGACAAGTAGACCGACTCCTGCCTGCATCTACTACTATTACTCCACACATCGACCACTATCCAGCATGCATCTAGAGTATTAAGTTCATACGAACAGAGTAACGCATTAAGAAAGATGACATGATGTAGAGGGATAAACTCATGCAATATGATATAAACCCCATCTTTTTATCCTCGATGGCAACAATACAATACGTGCCTTGCTGCCCCTGCTGTCACCGGGAAAGGACACCGCAAGATTGAACCCAAAGCTAAGCACTTCTCCCATTACAAGAAAGATCAATCTAGTAGGCTAAACCAAACTGATAATTCGAAGAGACTTGCAAAGATAACTTAATCACACATAAAAGAATTTAGAGGAGATTCAAAT